TGCTAGCTTTTCTCTTCAGTCAGAGCCGTCACATATTCCACGGCTGGAATCAACTACATCTGGAGTATAACCTAATGAAGGAAAAGAAGGATCATTGAGAGATCCGACGGGGTCCAGCGAGCACACATGTGGTTCAAGCAACGAAAAGTTAATGTTGCAACTAGTTGACATATTATCCCCTTTCCAATGAGCTTCTGTTTCTTTATAGAGCAGAGCTTTGGAAAGGAGGTCCACTAATTCACCTCGGCGTATATGCTTTTTGGATTGAATGGACTGGTCAAGGCGAGCCTCTGCGCGAAGACTGAACGCCGAGTGCTGAAATCCTAGCATAAGCTGTGGTAAGCGAGACCACCGTGCATGTATAGATGAAACTCAACCAGAATCTTCAAAGTACGCATGTACAAGACAATTTATCTCGTCTGCTGTGATGAGAATGGGCGCTATCATCGTAGACATGTTGTAGGTGGACCTTACTACACCTGAATTCAGATAGATAAACGTGAGACATTACGCAGTGAGGCTTAAACGGAGCATGAAGTTTTTCGCAGCGCCGACGAACGGCATGACATTGAGGTTGTCAGAGTCTAATCCAGGCGCCTCCCAACCCACACACTGCGGGCATTGGCTTATTTAAGCCCAGCTTATATCCTGAAAACATTCAATTTTAGCTTTTTCTAGCCAATCAGAACCCAGAACTCCCATATTTTCAGGATATAAGCTGGGCTTAAATAAGCCAATGCCTGCAGTGACAGTGTCCCAAACCTGCACTATTTCCACCTGGCTATCCCCGTAACCAAGTCTAAGTAAAGTGACTGGCGCACTTTACTTAAACTCAGACAACAGATTTTTCCAACACCAGCATTAAAACAGGCTCCTCCACAGCCACTGTGTCGAGAGAGGAGGACTTAATCCTAGAGCCACAAAATAATGATGAGATTAGATATGATAAGATATGATAAGATAATAATTCAAAGTCAGCACATCTTTATTCCTCGCTCTCTCTCCACAGCAGCTGCAAATTAACATTTGTAAACAAAGACTTGCCACACTGACAGTGACGAGCCTCGACATTGGCTACCATCAGACATCAAAAATCAATTGCAGACCGATTAATGATGTCAAGTAAGTTCACAATAATCTCAGTGCCCCACTCTATCAGTCTATAACTGATCATGTACCCAACCGCATCACTGATTGAGCAATTATTACTCTGCAAAGTGCTGCCTTCTGATCTGATTGTCTCACTTCTTAAAGATGACCAATATGCCAGTCATAATAAAACTAAGTGAAACTCAGCCGCTGCCCGAGAGGCTATAGAAACAACTTTATTATTTACCTAAGTGAAACTACAATAGATGTTAGTTTAAGGTGATCTCTAATAAATGTAATGTAACATACCTCAGCCGCTGCCCAAGAGGCTATAGAAATGACTAAGGTATTTCTATACTAAACCCCCTACTACTTATAGTCAGAGGTGCTACTCGCTACAGTATAATAACTCCTAGGAGAACAATGGTGACTCCATGGAGAACAATGGCTGCTTCGGCAGAGACCGGGTTTATCCCATTTTGTCACTCCCACTCGAGTGCAACCGTAGTATAGCTTTAGAGAATTTCCAGTGTTTTTCGTGAGTGAGGGGTTTAGTGAGAATGTCAGCAACCATATCTCCTGTAGGAATATAACCAATTACTGCTTCTCCCTTTGATACTAAGTCATCTTGGATAAAATGATATTTCTGTTGAATGTGTTTTGTGCGAGCACGGAACTGTGGATCTCGTGTAAGAATGATAGCTGCTTGATTGTCACAGTGCAATGTTGTAGGTCCATTTTGAGCATGTCCAATTTCTTCAAAAAATGTTTGAAGCCATGCAAGGTGTTGTCCAGCATTGCTCAATCCAATGTACTCTGACTCCGTGGGGGATAAAGCTACCATGCTTTGTTTTTTGCTTGTCCAGGAGATTGCTCCTCGGATAGTGATAAAAACAAAGCCTGATGTTGATCGGGACGTGTCTGGGTCTTCAGACCAATCTGCATCTGAATATCCATAGAAATCCATGTCCATAGAGACATCTGTGCCATCATATCGTAGTTCCATGTCCCTGGTTGCTTTCAGATATTGGAGGACACATTTTGCAGCTTCCCAGTGATGGCTCCTTGGAGCTGAGCTATGTCTGCTTAGTATTCCAACAATGTAGGCAATGTCTGGGCAGGTTCCAAGCATGGCATACATGAGGGAGCCTACAATTGAGAGGTATGACACTTGGCGCCCTTCAATATGCATCTCGTGTTGCACAATATCTTCCCCTGGAGCATTTGCAAGGAGTTTTGATCCATGGGCCATTGGTGTCTATACTGGTTTGCAGTTTTTCATTCCAGTACGCTCCAGGACTGTGTCAATGTATTGGTGTTGCAATAGGGAGATTGTTTTGTTTGAACAATCATGTCGGATTTTTTCTATTCCAAGGATGTATTTTGCTTCTCCAAAGTCCCGCTGTTTTGTTGATAAAGTGTTTGATATGGGATAGCTACCAAAGCTTCTTTATCAGCGGGAGGTAATCAGGAAATTGCTCAATCCTGAATTCAACGCCAAGTTCACCCGTGCAGATGCAGTGCATCACAAATTCACAACATTTGGCAAGGCTGATAACTTCTATAGTTTCCTTAATGAACATATCTCAACCTACTTTGAATTTATGATCCCCTACCTTAAACGGTTGCATAGCACAATTTTTGATTCTACTATGTTCCTTCCTGAGAGGTTCATTAAACTTGGCCCACCACGACTCTATTTTACAGATCTTTTGTGATGCTCTAAATGTTATACAAACTAGCAGAAAGAAATTGATACACCTGAGACAACCATTGGCAAGGCCAGAGGGATATATACCTCAATTAGATCTCTGGCACTCAAGTGATGATAGATTCAAATTCTATGCTCTGCTTGTGGTCACACACATTGCAGGGGCGAGTAGTGGGGGGAGCATACCTAGGTATTCTGCGTGACTCAAGCCTTCCAAATCAACTTCATTGGATGTCATGGGGACAACTTGGGCACTGTAACAACCAAGAGTTATTTACTCTGGCGCACACAGGAACACACTATAAAGAAGATGATGGGGAGTGGTTACCCTTTTGGCTGCAGTGAGTTAGTTGTGCTAGACAACAGGAGGACTCGCTGAGTCCTTCTCTATGTATTGCTCTTGTATATATACTAAAATACATGAGGTACTGTACAGTTGTAAATAAAGTTCAAAGTCTGATGTTTAGCATGTGACCGGTCACATGATGAGTCTAGACACTGGTCATGTGACTATGAAAAGGTCCGAAAATGTAAAGTAAAGTAAATGGTCACATGACTGGTCATGTGATTTGGAAAATAAAAGTAGGAGTACAAAAGTGAAGCGTAAGTAGGTTCTGGTATGTTGCTAGTAACAGGCACTTAATGCTCTTAAGAGAAAAAAAGTGCTCTAACTGCTTACAGATCTAGCCTCCCAGACTCTGCTAGTCACAGACGCCAATGCCATGCTTCTTAAATTGCTTTTTATCACTCATATTCCTTATTTTATTGCTCTATGTTGAATTGTGTTATTGTGGTTGTTTTCTACTTTGTATCTTCTATACTTTAACTAGCACATGAATGGACAACTTATAACCGTAACTGTATTGCCTCAAATAGCAAGACCCATTACAGATTCATTTTATCAGTGAGCATCATTATCATTCAGACTTGCATTTTTTCTACTATATCCTTGCCTATACATTATCATTGTACATTGGTTAACAGAGATGCTCCCTATATGTGTCCTGTTGGATGTGGAAAGTCATTTGCAACAGCTCATGCTGTCAACACGCATTTTAGCTCTGCAAACAAATGCCTATGGTATTGCAAAGGAAAGTTACAATCACTCACTATCCCGCAGCCACAAAAAGATAACAGAGAAAAAGCTAGTGGATTAGACATGCTAATAGATGATGAGCATATGGAGGAGGCAATTGGTAAAGTACCACAAAAGTTGCAAGAGGATCTTCTTTCATTCATTCCAATCGCACATTCTGACATTATTGATGATAGGGAGAACACAGCACGCCCATCCCTTCATCAAAACTCAATTGTCCTAGACAACAGTGAAAATGAATGTATGGAGGTGGAACATCCCACAGCTGGCAAGGTCATAAGCATGGATGGGACTTTACATCAGAGGTGGAGAAGAGAATTCATTGCAGAAAGTGGGGATGGTGAAGACATAGAAATGGGTGAAGCTTCAGACCCTGAGTTCTTCCTGTTACAATTGATGTACCAGTACCTACTTACACTTCACTTTTTTCGTACTTTTACTTTTATTTTTCCAAGTCACATGACCAGTCATGTGACTATTTACTTTACTTTACATTTTTGACTTTTCATAGTCACATGACCAGTCATGTGACACATTACCTAACCAGTGTCTAGGCTCACCATGTGACTGGTCACATGCTAAACATCAGACTTTAAACTTTATTTACAACTGTACAGTACCTCATGTATTTAGTATATATACAGGAGCAATACATGGGGAAGGACTCAGTGAGTCCTCCTGTTGTCTAGCACAACAAACTTGTTGAAACCTGAGGGGTGATCCCTCCTTTCTCTCTTCTCTTTTGCTTGTCCAAGTTGTGCGCCAGAGTAAGAAACTCTTGGTTGTTACACTTCCCCTTTGCCTCGGAGATAGATTGAGGAGTAGCATGTTGGGCAATTCAAGATGGTATAGTGCACCAGTCTTTCAATCAGCTGGTAAGTATCCCAGGTGTTGATGATTTCATGATTTTTACAAATCTTGCTTATACTATTGCCAGGTCAGGGAGAAGCTGGGGCTTTCTTACCATAATATACGTGGATTACACAACATTGTTGACTACAGCATACTGTCTAGGGCTGAATAGAAATCAACTATGATATATTTTCCCGATGCTCCAAATGATACACACCTTATACAGTATAGAGATGTACTTTCAGCCATTAGGACTCTCTTTGGGAACCCTGCACATGCCAAACATTTAGTTTATCGCCCAAAAAAGATTTTCATTAATGCAAGGAAAGAATTAAGGATTTATCATGAGATGTGGACAGGCAAATGGTGGCATGCTATTCAGGTGAGCATGGTTTTGTATCTCCCAATTACAGTGACTTACAGAATCTTTGGAATAGGCTTGTCTACCATCTGGGGCAGCCTTGGCTCTTGTTATCATTACAACGGACAAACCCAGCTCACACAATTCTCTAATTCTAAATTAGCCTACTATGTCTATCTCACAATTGGCAACATACCCAGAGCTATACATTGTAAGCCAAGCCAACATGCTTGCATACTTATAGGATATCTGTCTTTTAACAAAGCCACAAGATCTCAGTTTACTGCAAAAGAGAAGTCTTCAAGGGGTTAGTGTCCTTTTCACAAGTTGATGCAGATTATACTAGAGCCTTTGAAGGGAGCTGGTAAGGAATTTATG